AAGAGCGCAGACAGGTACTGTGGCCTGGGGCGCTGGGGTGGCTGTGGGAGGGGAGCAGAACCGCTTCGCCAGCTATTGCCCTGTGCTGGGCCAGCTGCAATAATCTCCCAGCTTTGCTTGCTTCTCTGCTGGTCTCCAGCGCTGGAGCCCCGGCATCCCTGGCAAACAGAGCAGTGCCTTGGGCCAAGTGCCTTGCGCCTCTCTGGAGATGCTCGGGGGGGCTCCTTGCAGAGCGCCTGGGAGGGACCCCGGGCAGACAGCCAGGCCCTGCATGTAGGTTGTGCTTACCGGACCCATCTCAGCCCGGGCTGCATCCTCCTGCGTTCCCAGTGGCGCTGGCCCTGAGCGGTCCCTGGCAGAGCCCAGCGATGCTCCACAGCATTGCCTTAGACCCGCACAGCCAGGCCGCGAGGCTGTGGGGTGGGCAGGGAGTGTGGCAGGGCGGAGGCCCGTGCCCTTGGTGCATCTGCGTTTTGTGCTGCTTGGGCTGGGTGCCCGGCAGTGCCGAGCCGGGGAGCCCAGCGCCTGGCGGTCTCTCTCTCCCTGTCCCTCTCCGGTGCCCAGGCTGAGGGACTGGAATGCAGAAGGCTCCTTTATCTCCTGCCTACAGGACCTGACAGAGGGCTCCTGGCAGGAGGGGGTCACCCGAAGGCTACTCCCGACGCACACCATGGCCTCTGGGGCACAGGGCCAGGAGCAAGAGCAGGTCCTGGTGCCGGCCGTGGAGCTGATGCGGGTCAGCTCCACAGAGGACGGCGACTGGCAGCCCCCGCACCCCACAGGCGGCTGGCAGGAGGAGGCAGACAGCCGCTTCTTTGGGCAGGTGAGGGTAAGAGCAGGGGGACCCGGCTCTGCAGGTGGTGGAGACCCTCTGGACAGCCCTTTCCTGAGCCTGCCGCAAGGGCAGCCAGGCAGACCTGCTGCTAGCAGAGGCACAAAGTCTCTTGGCACGCTTCCTGCCCCCTGCCCCTGGGGTGCCTCTGAGCCCAGAATAGCCTGCTGTGCTTGATACCCGAGCTCTTGCTCTCCGTTTATAACCCAGCCAGCCTCCCTGCCTGCTTCCTTACTGAGTATCGGCCCTGGCCGCCGGCCCCACAGCCTGCTGAAGCCAGAAATAGAGCTGGTCTGGGGGCCAGGCTGGGCAGTGGGCATCCTGCCACGGCCACACGGAGCCAGCAGGTACAAGGTGAGGGCAAGAGCCTTTCCCTGGCCAGGGCAGACACAGCCATGGCAGCAGCGTGGCCATGCTTGGAGGTGGTTGCTCAGCTCTGCAGTGTGTCTCCCGAGTCACGTGCGATTCCAGTGACACCCCCAACCCCTGGCTCCTGCCCAGGGCTTCATTTGTCCCGTGACGGAGGACTGCACGCTGCCCTCCCACCAGAGCCGGGAAGACAGGTTGTTGGCAGGCTGACAGAGAAGGGGGACAGGGCTGTCCCAGTTACTGCCTGGCTGGGGACGGGTGGTGCTGCCACCGCCCTGGCCCCATGACTTTGGCAGAAGCTGTGAGCGCGAAGGACGCCCCACCTGCCCGCTCCCTTCTCGCCGCCCACAGCCAGCTGAGCTGCGGCAGCTAGGGCTATCGCAGTCCTCCCGCAGAGCCAGGGCACCGTGCCGGGCAGGCTGCAGACCTGCAGGGCTGCTCCTGCCGCGGGGGCTTTGCCTGTCCCAGCCGAACAGCATGGCCGGGCTCTGAGCTGCGGGCTCAGACCCTCAGGGCGCGCGTGCAGCTCCGTGCGCTGAGGCAGGATGTGGGCTTTCCTGGCCCAGCTGCTGATCGTCCTGGTGCTGCTGGCCTTCTTCCTGGTCAGCTGCCAGAACGTCATGCACATCGTCAGGGGCTCCGTCCGCTTCCTGCTCAAACACGCCCACCGCGAGCTGGACAAGGAGCTTGGGGAGAGCCAGGGGCTGGCGGACGACGAGGAGGCTCTCTCCACCAGGGTCGTCCGCCGGCGCGTCCTTGTGAAGGTAATGAGCAGGGAGCTGAGAGCCCAGCCCTGGGGCAGACGCAGAGGAGAGCAGTGAAGGGACGCGGCAGGGTGGGAGACGGAGGCTGTGGGGTGCATGTCAGGTACTGTTCTGCCTGCAAAGGGGCTCCCCTCACCCCCCTGAAATGCTCTGATGTCCCTTCTGTCACTGCAGGGGAACGAAGTCCTTCATCTCCCCGGAGAGCAGGTGACTGAGGAGCAGTTCACAGACGATCAAGGCAATATCGTCACCAAGAAGGTGAGTGCTCGAGGGCATGGTGCGGGCAAGGGCATGCCACAGACTTTCTGCTCTGCCCAGCTGCCCTGCTTCTCCCTGCAGCCCAGGGGCCCACGCTGGGCTCCCGCCTCCCACCGTCTTCGGTTACGGTCACGGCCCTTCTCTGGCCAGAGCCTGCGCATGGGGCAGAGGCTGCGCATGGGGCAGAGGCTGCACGCCGTGTGCGGTCCAGGGCCAGCCCGGGCGAGGAGGCAGGCACGGTGCCTGGGGGCTGGCTGTGACGCCCGGCTCTGCGGGTCTCCACAGGTCATCCGGAAGGTGGTGCGTCAGCTGGGCCCTGGTGACACGGGTGACAGGCAGGAGCAGGAGGAGCTGATTCTGGAGGGCTCCCTCCAGCAGCCCCGAGACCTGGAGGCTGAGGACGATCACTTAATGAAATACTCCATCCTGCACCGGGACGGTCTGGGATCCAAGGTACAACGTTGCGTATAGCCCTCCCTCGCAGGCAACCTGCCCGGGGCCAGCACCACCTCTGCGGGACTCGTGGGCTCTGGGGCTCCGCCACCCTCTGTCCTTTCTTCTGCCCTGCTCTCTTCTCCTGTTTCCCCTCTAAGGCTTCCAGGGGCAGCTCTTGCCCGCTGTACCAGTCTTCTTGCTTAGTGTCTTCTGCCAACTGACTCTGCCTTTCCCTCTCCTGTCCTCTTCTGTATGTCTGTCTGTTCACCTGGGTGATGTCCTGCTTCCTGCCCCTGCGGCTTCCTCAGGAGGAGGTGCGAGTGCGTGTCCCGAAACTGGAGGTCTCCGGGGGCAGGATGGGGGCTCAGATAGTGAAACGAGCCAGCCTGAAAAGGGGGAAGCAGTGACCCCTCAAATGGCCTCTTTTGAGGTAACCCCACCTTTGCTCTTCCTTCTATCCCAGCTCCCCGAGCTGCTGTCCGCACTGAGCTGCGAGCCATGCCCGTCCTCCTGGGG